TTGATTAGGTAATTATTGGAATAAATATATAATGGAGAAAACTTAATGTGCGTTCTATATCATGAGATCTTAAAAAATAATTGAATAAAATAATTATACAATGATTAAAATGTATGATGAAACAAGGAATTAATTACAATTTTTATTTCTTTTGATAATTCATGGGAAGCTAAAATTGAAATTAGAACTCTGGCATAATGTCTCACCGCATTAATTAGGGATTAAGTACCATATTTGCTACAATCGTCGTCCACGCGAATATTAACAATCGTATCATTTTACAACAAGAACCCAGCTCTATCATAGAAAATGTGTGCGTTGTTTTCCTAATGACCTAGTGCGGAGTAGATTTGTATCTCTTTCTCTCGCTAGGAGAATAATTTCTTGAGTCTACAATACTAAGTGTACGCCTCTTTATTTCCTTAATGTTTCGGCGTTCACTGGACGATTTTCAATCGGATAGCGTATACTTTTGTACAATATCCGGCATAGATCGATTGGAATCGATCGTTGTAATCAGTCAGGCAAAAAGATTTATCCGAGAAGAAGTTACTGTCACGAGGTTCCACTCTTTCGTTGACCCGATCTCTCCTCGATCGATTGATAAATGAAAGAAAAATCGTGTATGCCGGAAATTGTTCTTTACGAAGAACGATCGATGATCATTCGAGTGACGGCGTAAAGACGCTCTTAAAGTATCGGCGTTGCATTTTAATGGCAGTAGTAATGGGGTATCTTTATTTTTCCCCTCACCGTAATAGTATGTATACATATATATTTACAATCTAATCTACTACAGTATTATACATATTTAATGTACGAAAATTATTATTCGTTAGTTATGATTGATAGCGAATTCGATTGGACGCACTCATGTATATGCGCACTCATATACAGTAAAACCGTTATTCACAAATTGATTTAAAAATACATGTTTATTATTGTATAAATATAAACACGGATCAAATGATGAAATCTTCAATACATTTTATTAGGTGTAAAGTAAAATTTTTATTTTTTATAGTTTTCGAAAGATTGGCATCTTTTTTTTTTGTACATAGATTACATCAATGTATAAGCGCGACCAACCGAATTCACTGTAAAAGTTCTAATAACGCCGGAGAATCGAGTATGTCGACGCGAGTATTAATCGTCGACTTAAAAGGCAAAATCCATCGTAAATCTTCTTGTCTCATTAAAAGTGAAAAATTAATTCTTTCGTTTTTTTTTTTTCATATATGAAAACATCACACGAGACAGTAAACTCGGATTTACTTCAATCTATAATAAATTAATAATATGTTACTCAGAGTGTTCTTATTAATTTTGTGTGTGCGTGTGTGCGCGCGCGCGCGTGTGTGCGTGTGTGTGTGTGTGTGTATGCGCGCGCGCGTGTAATTAATTATATTTCTATTGAATTATTATAAAAAAAGTAATTTATCTCCGAATTTTCTGAAATACGTGATATCAACAAATTAGACAGGAAAAGGATCCGAAATTCTCCGACGTCAAAATATTTCTTGCTAATAAGGGCCTCAACGCAAAGATGACCGTAACTAAGTCGTGGAACGTGAGTCGTAGTTGTAAGTTGATCAAAACATTGTGCGTTGATCTACGACTGCGACTGGCGTTTCACGATTCAGATGGCCATGTTTATGCTTACACACACGGACGATTTGCGACAGACGATCGTTTAACACAATAAGTATCATACCTGACGCTATATCGGTTATATAAAAGGAAACGAAAAAGGGAGAAAATAATGAATGACGATTTACAGTGACAACACCATAAACTACAGTATTGAACAACGCTGCAACAGCATCAATGGTTGTTCAATTCCCTACATCTATCAGCTTTAGAATTCGTATGCTTTACTTGTTTTTACCGTACTATCGGTTATTCCTTATCGTACTCTCACATTCATCTTTCGTTACAAAATACATTATATTCTTATATATTTTGAGACAAGGTAACGCGCGAACGTCGGCGACACAAGATATGCATTCTCTTCTTTACGAAGAGAATAGCAAAGAGAAGAAGAAATAATTTCGCGTAATAAAGATATTTACATCACTTTTCGAAAAGGGAAAGAGAAATATTGATGAGGGAATTAAGAATAGATGCAAAGTCGCAGAAAAATTATAATTATAGAAGTATAGTCACTAATAATAATGTAGAAAGAGATTATTAAAAACAAAAAAAGTTGATTAAATGTTTAGTACATAGTTGACGTAGTGTGCTCGATGAATACACAATATATTTAATATTTAAATAAATGAATTCAAAAAACGAACGGAAATACTCATTCAAAAACATTTTTTTTCATTTGTCAAGTAATGAATAAATACTTTTTTATTTCATTTAAATGAATATCTTTTAAATATGATTACGAATATTTTTATTTTCGCATTTACTTCTACTCTGTATTATCTGTATATTAACTTACAAACTTGCAAGAAAGAACAGAAATTTGTAAAAGCAATGAAATCGGCAAAAAAACCTTCCTCTATAAATATATGATTGCATTTTTTTCTAAAGAGAAAATGTTGAAAATGGAGGAGAAGGTGATATTATAGCACTCCATTTACATTTTGTACAACTTGGTTAATAATCAATATTTAAATCAATATTTAAATTTATAACCAATAATCAATATTTAAATTTAAAACCTAACAATTACATTTATTAAAACATTGTTCAATCGATTCTAAACTCAAAATTATAAAATATTTATTACGTAGAATGCTATTTATAAAAATGGGCGTGTTATTTATAAAAACAGGCGTGGTAATACTGGGTGCTTTCCAATTGATGACACAAATCGACACAAGTGTCGTTCTATCTTTGTCAATCTCTAAATGTCAAGAAAGATAGAACGATACTTGTGTCGACTTGTGTCATCAATTGGAAAGCACCCAATGTCTTCTACAAAAATAGATATAAAAAATTGATTTCGTTTAAAAAACAGTATTTGATTACAAAATTAACATAAAAAGTAAAATATATTGTAGAGTATACATATATATTGTATGTATATTGTATGTATTTAAATTATAGTATACATATATGTGCATACACATAACTCTAGCCGCATGTAATAAGTTGCTCAGTATTAGAAATCTGTATACATGCAATATGAACTATAGATTAACAATAGAGCTACAGTCAATTTATGAAATAATCATTTTGATATGAAAACCTCGATAAAGAGGCCGTCAGCAATCGGCACGCTTAGGCAGTTACATTAGCAAAATGTTATATTATTATTTAACTTTGCATAATTCAAAATGTATACAGCAAAATAAGATTAAATAACAAAGAATACACTCAAACATACATACAATACATTCGTATAAGAATACGTTCAAGTTTAAGAAGAATGAGGAAGTATGTGTAATTAAATGCTAAAATATATCTTAAGAACGTTTGAAAACGCTAGAAAGTAAGAATACGTTATAATGAGTGCTGACTGTTGTATATTAGCATATTAGCATATCGAGACATAACGGCGAGATATTAAGCAAATATAATATTAAGATAATAATTCTATAATCATCTGAATTCCAATAGCAGAGATATTAAGAAGGGCCATTATATCTACACTGGTCATAATATCACCTTCTTGTTTATAGTTTGTAACTTATTATAATTTGCAAATTTTTGTATTTATCGGGCACACTCGGTTGAGTAATAATTGTATTTCGCGCTACCGACTGTCATCGGCTTGTGCATCGCTTTTAAAATATGTATATATATATATATATATATATGCTCGTATAAACGGTTATGTTTCTAAAATTATCAATTGGTTATGTATTTCGAGTAAGATTACACACTAAAGTCTGCGTACGACGAGCTAACTATGCGCCGATTACCTAATTAGTTCGCGTAAGTGCGAGCGACCCTCGGCCCGCGTTGTAAAGGACAAAACGCTCGCGAAGCACGACTTTCGTCGTTCGAGCGAAATATTGTTTGCGTACGGATTGCTGTCAATTGTATCGCGATGATAGTGCAGCTTCTTACTCGCATTTTATTTTAATGTAGAAGCTCACAAGCTTCAAGCTTCAGTAAATTGCACACGCAGCGACAAGTTATGGAGTTAATGATACATCACGCGCGCGCGTTTAACATAAAAAATTCAAAAAAGAAAAATCTTTGCACGCTCATTATGGCGTTAATTCGCCATTGTAAACCATGCTGCAGCAATACAACCGCGACATCATCAACGATCAAAGCTATAACTTTGTATTGGCTGCCTCATTCTAGATTATAAATCTACAACGTAGACTGAAATATGACATTAATCAATCGCGTTGGCTTTAATTCATGACGAGATTTATTATTCCGAATATTATTAGAATGATATAATTTAATGCCCGTTCGCGTGCGTTTAGACGAACGACAGGCGGAGATTGGAAGCTCGATCGTCGCATTCAGTCCCAGTTTCTGGGACATTAAAATTATACTATACAGTGTTACACCGTAACGTCCGTCAGCCCGATGTGTTACCCGATTAAATAGTGGCAGCTTCGTATTACAATTTACTTGAGCAGACTATGTAGGTGTACGTAAATCTTGCGAATCTCGCGCCCCTCACGCGAGCAATGTTTCCCTGTTTAAAAGATGCCAAGTACAACTTGTTCAAGTGACTACGCGACGTCGTCCCGAATTCTCTCATCGTTTCGGGATTTTGTATAAGGACATAAGATTCTCTCTCTCTCGAGACGATTCTCACCCTTCTACTCTCTCCCTCCCTCTCTCTCTCTCTCTCTCTCTCTCTCTCTCTCTCTCTCTCTCAAATAAGAACATAATGTCTCATAAGTTATCGTCTTTGAAATCGATTGTATACTTTCGGTCACTCTTTGCAAAATCGGAGCCCTTTTACCGTAATTTCGTCGTTAAGGATAAGGAGATGAGCTTGCGGATACTCCTATATAAGACTAGATCCGGACTTCTAGTCCTTAGTCTTTCTCTACGGTGCAGGGCTCAGGCATGGACTACTGGGGCGGACATTTTACCACCGTTGTGGTAGCGAATTCGCTAAATTTCTTGTCGATGGGCACTCGATCGTCATAAAGAGTCGGTGCTTGTAGAATGATACCTGCAGTACCCACCAAAACCGCCAGAGTGAAGATCACGAGGAACAGGCGATCCAGCACCATCGCCACATACTTCCATTCCTCCTTTACCTGCACAGAGGAATGATGTGATTGATTCACGGGAATATTTTCAATTTGGCGAAGACATTTTTATGTTTTATGTATAATATAAATATTTTAAATATAATAGTAATAACTTCTTAATAATCAAAGTAATAAGACAAAGAGCATCAGAAATCAGGTGCGGAAATTAATGCACAAAACACATTTAAAATATAAATTAAGATATTTACATATAGATATATGTAAATTACATATAGATAGACACACATTCACGCACGCACACGATATACAATATTAGAGGAAACCGGGGCACCATAAGTTACTTGGTATCATAAATCATTGATTGACTGTTTAGGATAGCAATCAATGATCAAGCCATAAAAATATGTAGTTAAAGTATAAAATATGATGTCATTTTTACATAGAACAAGAAATCTTATTACTGCCATTCATGAGTGTCTTATTGTAGTCAACGCATAAATTCGAATCACTGTTAATATAATATTTAAATTCAGCTGAAAAAGGACCTGTGAATTCCAAAACGTACTTTTCTTTTTAATAATAAATTGATATATGTATGATTTAATTAGTGTCGGTATTTTTATCGCTCAATTGATTTTGTAAATTTAATTTATTCATTGCTTTGCACAACAAACAATATCGTACGAGAAAATATAACGTTATTTTTATTTAAAAAAAAGTCAAGTAAGGTTTTTTACTTTTTAGATTAATATTCAATTTTTTTGTCTAAAAGATGAGAGATTCTGAAAAATATGTTGATTTTGTAATAATTATGTTTTTTATACTCTAAAATATTTAGTTTTTATTATTTTTTTTATTTTTATAGTAATTTCTTTATCTTGATCCTTTTAGTTAATAAGAAACATTATTTAATATCAAGCTATATAACATATCTGTACTTTATATATTGCGCTTTTTTAGTTTTAAGTAGATTAAATTCTTTTACTGTAGAAAATAATAATATCCAAAACTTTTAAGAAAATATTGGATGTTTGCCAATAAAATTTTCAACTTATGGGAACTTTATAAAATTTCCATTTCTGTCTCCGCAAGCAATGTTATTTAATCTCTTCCGTGAATTGCGATAATGTTTTATAGTTTTATGATACCGTTCATTCTCAAAATCGATCATTATATAATAGCGGAGACCATAACTATTATAACTAAAATAGGAAAAAGTTATAATATAATTTTATTATATTTTTCTAAAATGATTTTAATTATATTGATTAACTATTATAAACGAGTTTTTTTTGTTACCGATAACCATTATAAACGGTAAAAATTATTTTTGGTTACGAATAACCATTACCGATGATAGAAATTGTTTTTGATTGCAAATAACCGTTATCGATGATAAAAATTGTAGTCGACAATAATGTACAACACTGATGGTGAAGTAAGAGAGGCGGGCTGCTCACGTAGTAAATACGTGTGTCTCTATCATAGTAATGATAATGAAAAGTAACGACAGACAAAAGTAAGAAGACAAAATGCTAACTGTCGATATTGATTATCGATAATCAAAATAAAATTCTGGTCGTCAATAATCATCGTTATTCGTAACCGAAAACAATTTCTATCATCGATAATGGTTACTCGCAATATCGCAATCAAGAACAATTTTTGCAGTCTATAACGTTTATCGGTAACCAAAAAAGTTTTACTCATTTATAATGATTAATCAGTAACCAGAACACATAAAAATTGATTTTTTATGTGTTTTATATATATATATTTTTAATTATTGCATTTTTTGAAAAATTTCTTTAATATTTAATAACTACCTTATATGTGAATAAAAATCGATTTTTTTCTATCAAATTTTTGAGATAGCTGTTATTTTGATGTTTAGTTGAGAGACTGTATAAGAGAGTTAATTAAGATTTCTTTTCACCTTTTCTATCTGTTATTTTTTGAATAAATCTACTTTTGCATAATACATAGTGTTCCAGATATAGGACACCTTGAATAATTTTTCAGAAAATATGTTTTTATTTTTTTCTCAACAGCCAATTAATATTTTTCAAATACACTCAATGCATTTTTAAATATATATAATTCTTTTTATATAATATGCAATTCCCTAATCTCTACATAAAATGAGACAAAAGTTCTTGTATTTAAAAGTACCTTTGAGAGTTTAAATTTTTATGGTGCCCGTAAAGTACACGGTAATTTCACTGCGATTACTTAGCGCCGGATACTATCATGTCTTCTAATATGTATGTACATATATTATTATTAAGAGAAAAGCAATAATCTTATTGTGTGTGTTCAAAAATACAATGTTTATTAAAAAATATTTCTTTCTATTTATTTTAATGGATTTACCTTAGTCGAATCATCGAGCATTTTAGTATGCTCCGCAATGAAACGCACGCAGATGCAGGACTTGTGTAACTCCGGTGGACAACGGGAGTGTGAGAAGGCAGGTGGGCTTTGCAGCGCAGGACTTTTGACTTCCTCTATGCCTGCTTCTCCGGAGACCGAGAGATCTTCGCACTCGGTGTGCAACGGTAACGGTGGTATCGTGGGGCCATGAATCAAGCAACTGCCTCCAAATCTCTCACCGTCTGTAAGGCTGAAACAATCGGAAGTTTAACATTGTTAGTTGTATTTGTGTTGCTCGTTACGTCCAGTATCGTGAGCAACATTTTTATCACCATTTATTATAAAGAAGACGGTATTATATTTTATGGCCATTTTATTTAAGCTTAAATTTATAATTATAATTTTATCTACGTGTAAATTTTTGGACAAAAAGATATTTCAAATTTATATTTGTAATTATAAGTGTTGAACGCGTCTTGAGTGGCGTCGCGTCACAGGGGGCTACAAAATTGGCAAGCTTAAAAAGGTAAGCAGAGCAACAAGGCGGGCGCACGACACGCAAGGACTCGTGACTCTTGCAAATATTGTATATCTGAAGATTTATTAATCACCTCTCCTGCAATACTAAACTTGCCTAAGATCAAAACCGATCATCTCAAAAATGACATTTTTTTCTGAAACCCTCTTCTGTTATCGGATCGTCATATATATTTATCTGCTGTTCCTCTTTCTTCGGGCGCAGTTATTAATAGTGTGTCCTCTTTCGCAGCACGTACCTTTTTCTCGCTTAGGCCGTTGACATTCTCGCGAAATATGTCCTACTTGATTGCAATTGTAACACCTTATTTCTATCTCCTGTCATCCACTCTGTTTCGCCGTTTTGTCCTTCGACTTATTAAATGGTTTCCACGTTGATTTCCACTTTTCTTCGTAAAACTACACCTTGTTCAATCCCTTATCGTGATCTCTCTGAATATCCTCAGCAATGCTCCGGTCGACTCGTAACGCTGGATGCGCGCTTGATTCCACAACGAGACATCTCCTATACCATCAATTATACCTGTATATTCTATTAGGTCGTTATCATCTATTGGTATCTGATTAGCCAATATAAGAATTTATCATGATAATAATCGGCAAACTTCTTTTCCTCAGTTTGTGATTGCTGTCGCAACTCGTCCGTTTGTGCTATCCAATCACTCGTCTGATTCGCCGATGCAACTCTCACAACCAGTTCTGCTTTCGCGCCCGTGGTCGACAATTGATGGTTCTTTAGAATTGTCTTTAACTGCACATTTGTTAATTAGTTTACTCTTACCATTTCTGTTTAATGGATATAGTTTAATCTAATTCCCTCATTAGCACGCTGCCGTTCCGATACTTGTACTCTGTCGCGCGCGTCGCCACTTGCCAGTCGATTCTTCACTTCTTTGCCGAACACTTGCCATAAACACGATCGGTGTTCTGTCCAGTACACTCTTCAATCGTTCTTGCTTTATTTAAGGTAAATTCATAAGTCTCACATATAAGTTCGTAAATGCATAAATCCACACATAAATCACGAGCTATAATTATAATACTTTATAGGCCAGTCGTGAATTGCCAATTTCACTTCTGAATTGTTAGGAATTTAGAAGGCTGAGAAGAACAGTGAATAATTACTCTTACTATTTAAGGAGTAACTTTTATTAGTGTCAGGTATCGACAACGATTCGGAACAAATTGCCGAATCTCGCGAGTCATCGCCCAGTCGCGTCGTGCCGTTGTCGAACATACATGTTTACATTCTCGAACTTTCATCTTCCTCTGTATCCTTACAAATTTTTATTTGTGTCAAGTATCGACAACGATTCGGAACAAATTGCCGAATCTCGCGAGTCATCGCCCAGTCGTGCCGTTGTCGAACATACATGTTTACATTCTCGAACTTTCATCTTCCTCTGTATCCTTACTCGAATTATATAAGAATTCGATTTAATTAGAGATATATTTATTGTCTTTATAAAGCTCATTAATAGAAGTATTCTCGTATTGTTGTAAATACCTGGAAGGCGAGAGATCTTCCTTTGATGGAGGACGGCTGTGGAATCTCTTGGGTGTAAGATGTTCTTCACTGTCTTCCTGAGTCGGCGTGTGGTAAGGATAATAGCAAGTCTTCTCCCTTCCTCTGACGGTCCTCATTAGCACTCTGCCGGAAGTGTACCTGCAAACATAGACAATCGGGCGTGGAATTTTAATGCGGGTGCCACGTTCTGGAAAACGGCGGACTAGCTAGCGGTGCGATCACTAGAATATAAGTTGCATTAAGTATGTATAACATTATTGTTATACATTCGGTATAACAATTATTCGGCGCAATCTCGCGTAATAAAATTCCTGACTGTGATTGTTATCGCTAGCGCAAAAAAGATGTAGAAGTAACGATTTACTAGGATTTTACGAACATTTAATACTCTTTCTCTTTCTACATTTTCTTCTAATTTTTAGTACTAAATACATCAATAAAAAAGTTTGAAATTAAAATTTTTTCCGATAATTAAAAATAAAATAAAAGAAAATTTTGTATCTTATAGCGCTGATAGTTAAGAAAATAGGAATAAAGAAAGAAATTTCTATTTTTGAGTAACATGTTGCAATTATATACATATACGTAATACTAACCTGCTAGTGTCAAATTTATATTGAGGCCTCCTCATGACTAATAGTCGTGGAAGAATGTGTATGAAAACTCTTTTCACCCAAGGGGCCATTTTGTGTGTTTGTGGTGAACGGAAGTGAACATTGAGAACAACCACAGTAACGCCTATACTGAAAAAATAAAGTAACAGAGGACAATTAGATATAATATTATAAATATAAGCAAGTGTGGTCGCTTTGCAATATATAATATTTTGTCATTTACGAGATTATTTTCTTATCCTCTATATAACAAAATTTAGATAATATACTCCATAAAACGTAATTTAGTGACAAACTGTTTTATGTACGTAATGCAAGTTTAGTACAGAAATGTTAATTTAGTTATTTGTATTAAATCCGCAATTATTCTAATGACCAAACTAATACATTGTCTATTTTATGTGGCAGCGATTATTAGAACTAAATACAAAGTTGTTTACGACACTTAATGGAGGAAAGTTAATTAAATTTTTAATAAACACCGCTTCATTACGGAGATTTTAATCCTCGTTAACTTTTAGGGCTGTGTTCGGAAACGTTACCCGAGTGTCCCCGTATATTGTTTAACACTGAGTGAGTAACAAAAATAAAACGATATATGGAGATCAGATAACATTTCCAAACGCAGTCTAATGTGTACACACGACAGAATCATATCATTATTATCTAAATATTATAAATATTAATTTTTAGCAAAAAAGTAAACATAACTTAAATTTACGACGGCCAATAATTGAGCTATAAAGATACAGATATCAATTAAAACATATGCATCGAGTTACATTCAAAGGAAAAGTACTCCTCCGTTTATTCTGAAAAGCAACGATCCTTATATATACTTTAATGTGCATTATTTATATTTTAATGTACATTATACACACGCATATTACTCACGTATAAGTAATATGTGTGTTTAATAATATACATTGAAATATGTATAATTAAAATGAACACGTTAAAATATATCTAAATGCAGTTGCGTAGTGAGAAAAATGTTTTGGGAGAGAGGTTGTACTGTAGAAATCAGTTTTTTTAAATATTCTTTTTTATACTAGTGACACATTCTGTAAGCATAAACAAAAAAGTTTCGTTTAAAACGAAATAATATAATACATAATACATAATTTATAATATATAATTTATATACATGTTGCAATGTCGCATCGGATCAATATTTCACTGACGTTGACGTTGCATATAAATTGTCATAATTTTTTTACTATTACATTTAAAGATCTTGAAAATTTGTAACATAACTTTAACGTTTGAAAAAAAATCCATTAAACTCGACAAAATATTATTAAAAATCCGACATTTTGTTGTAAAATGCTTCGAAAATTTCTCTTATAATAGCTCTGCAAGCCGCAGAATATGTCAAAGATTATAGTGTAAAAATTTCAATAATAACTATTAATATCCTGAGATTTCACGAGTTGAAGTGCTTGAATGGAATGTAAATCTCACGAGACTATTCATAACACACATCCATTTGGCGATGGGAGATCCTAACTGAGCAAAGGACAGACCGAGGTTTAAATTGGACCCACTTCCTTTGACATGGCTTCAAACCATTTATCGGTTCGGACTACGTTGCCGCAGCGACGTAAATTCTCGATCCTCACGTCTGTTCCCTTTTTATCATGCCCGACGACCGCGTTAGTCATCCCGGCAAAATGTGCCATAATGCTCACGTATTAGGCGTTCTCGAAGCTATCTTCGCTCTAAACGTGTAATCCTGAACGACGGGACGTGACAAGAAAGACATTTCCATTAAAATATCATTAATTTCTAGCTTTATAGGAATTAATATAAAAATATTTATTACATTATTATATAATTTATTACATTATTATACAAATATTTATAATAATAAAGTGGCTAGTTATTACAATAAAAAAATTTTTATATAAATAACATTAAACGTTTAACACACACATCAAACATTTTTATATAAATTACTTCTATCATATTTTCACGCTTTATTGTTCGACCTAAAATTAAACTGGTAGGTCCGGTGTATTTTAAGTGTATCTTTGCTCAAAATGTTCATAATTAAATAATTTCTTTTTCATTCAGATCAGAATCCGAAGAATAAAATTATATGTAACTTAATATCATAAAGTTGCGAAGAATATTTGTTATAAATAATTTTTCACAACGTTAAAGAAATTATTCGAGTCCATTAGATCCGCCGATTACGTTTCATTAAATTTTGTGTATTAAATCTTGTCCTAAAAATTATATTTATAAATCAATTTCAATAAATTATATAATAATAAAAATTCAAGAAATCTCATCTTTTTTAAGCATAAATTATGTATGCAGAAATGTATATGCAATTATATATAGATAATCGACTATTGCTAGATCGAAGATGCCTTTACTAGGTTAATCTTGAGGATGCCATGCGCGGAATCCCGCACACATCTAAACCGAAATTCATAATAGTGCCGATCGAGAACGAAGTGAGCCTCTTGAAATTCCAGCGAGATGGGAAATTTGGCGCTGTATTCGAAGTGGCAGACATTGCACATTTCTTCACGATTATAAATTCCTTTGAAATTCAATCTTTTATCTTATTGTTAGAGATAAGATGTTTTTCTTTCTTATACATTTTTTTTTTAATTTTCTACATTAATATATTATGAATTAAATCACGATTTAAGATTTGTAACGTTCAAACATTAAAAAAATTCTTATTTTAAAAATAAAAAATCTTATTTCGTAAATTTCCTTAATTTTCTACATTAACGTATTGTGAATTAAATCTCAAGTTAGAATTCTATTAAAATATATGTAATGTCATTTCAAATTAGATAATTAAAAAATAAAAATGTGTTACTGCTGCTTTACTCCCACGAAAATTCCGTGCAGTGTTCACCAGTGTAATTCTTTAAGCCTTCTGTCGCACGTAGCTCAAGAGCTACCAATATCTTGGCGCTTCGAGAGGTATTCTTTTCTATTTGTTCTGCAACGTCTGCAATCACGGGAAGTGCGCAACACCTAAGCGAGACACGTTGTACATCTTAGGATTCAGGTCCACGGGTGGCTGGAGCCCAACCTCGGTGAACGCTGCTACTGATTAATGTGTCACACCTACTGCATCCTTGCAGCGTCCGAGGCTATTAGGAGGTTTCCATCACATACACACACACTTCTACAAACATACACACAGACACACATACACACACTCTCTCTCTTTCTCTCTCACACCTACGTCTATACACATACATGGAAAGCCACGTGGCTTCCACTCAAACAACGGCCCGCATGCTGTCGGCCCAATTCGCCAATTTGCTGACTCCCTCGTCCTCAAGAAGACTCGTCGCTTCTCTCTTCGTTGCCCAAGTAGATCGTGTCATTGATTCGACCGGGATGCGTCTTAAAGCACGAGACCATATCGCCCCGTGGACGTTCAATGTCCTCCACGTCGATAATGGCCGACACTCGAGATTCGCTTTCAAGTTCCAAATCGGTGGACTTCAAACGCTTGGGTATCATATTCGTGCTCCGATATTATTTTATTTTTAAATTTCCTCCCAGGAGAAGACTTATAATTCACTTATGGCCATTATATTTTCATACATTTTTATTTGCGTATTTAGAATGAGTATAAAATAATTTTTATTCATTAAGAGAAGACAATTCATGCGTATGAGATGATTAATTTTATTTTTATAATAATATACTGTTTATTAATAACGTATAAGATTGTTACACACAGTAATTATAATTATTACAGTAATTATGTATATATGAGGTTTAATGTAATATTTTTATTCCGTTATTTTAAATTTGGGAAATATGTGTTAATTAAGAACTTTTATAATGCATATAATAGCGCAAAAATTGCGTGTAAAAGTTGAGTCATTAAAAAAAACTGCCTTCATTAATGTAGCTTCATGAAATGAGAGAATATTTTTTTTTTTTAACGAAAAGCTCGAATATCAAATATTTTCTGGGAAATAATTACTCGCGATGGCTACCGGATGGTTGTTACACTTAACCAGTTTCTTCTTCCTTTCTTTATCTCTCATTGAAGACTAAATCCGCTCCAGAGGTAAGCAATCTTCATCTCGCGCTCGTCCCAGCTCGTCTTGGCTGCGTAATCCAAAGAAATATTGCAAATTCGAGAGTTATCAGGGAGTAAAAAGCCTTTCGCTGTTCTAAGACGTTCGCGGACGTGGAATGAATCGTAAAATCGCAGGACGCTTCTCTACCGATTTTCTGAGGAAAGGACCATTAAGTCTCGGATGCGCGTAGTCGGATTGCTCGCATTTGCTAGGGTGTATCTCAGAAGAAGAAATATGCTCTCTTCCACTCGCGCCATGGTGCGCTTTGTACGCGTTAACACGTTTAATGCTTATTTACATCGCACATTTGAATAAAAATATTTTATATCTCCATTGAGAAGATTCGACAATAAAAGAGCGTATATTTTAAAGATACCACTCCATTTTTTATTGCTCTTAAAGAATTAAATAATCTCATGCTTTCACATGCTTTGCTGTGTCAAGCTTTTCTAACATGGGAAATAAAATCGTATATGTGCTTTTTCAGTGAAACGCACGTGTGCGTCCGAAGAGAACACTTTCGATCTTCGTTGTGAATCGCCCATGTCATGCTGAGAAAACGACATCGTACAAATTTCCTCGTCGCTTCATCATCGTTGGCTATCAGTCATGAAGAAAAGAATGTTGCGCTAGACAGAAGCAAGAGTCTGGAAAAACTTTATAAAAAAATATGGGGAAAGAAAGGAAACATAAAAAAGAGGAAGTTTTTCATAAAAAAATGAATGTGGAAGATTGCAGGAGAAAAATACCATAGTGAGAAAAATTTTCTTGATATTATAGTTTACAAAACAATGAGCGTTACTAAATTATTCATACAATACAATTTTCTTGGATGTGGTTTGTTATGTTGCGGTATTAGTTGAAAATCATACAATATTTTTTAATTACTGTTTTACAAAATACACTCTATTATGAAATATGCAACTATGACCGCGGGTTTATGCATATAATTATACTAGTTCAGAATTTTTGAATAATTTTTAATATAAAAAAAGGAAACAACTTTTTAAAATGTATTTTGAGGCTCTGAATTTGAATCTGCTATTAAAATATTTT